TCTATGATTCTATTCTATGATTCTATGATTTGTGTCATGCCTGTTTATTGTTGTTGATAATAAAGGGAGTCTATTTATTTAAATGAAATGTTCACATCCCAGCTGTCTAAAACTGGCGGAAGGAAACCCATGTGGTCTATCAGTGATCACCTTGACAGACAAGGTCACCATTTTTGCCTGTTTGGGTGTGAATTCCTCGTAAGTGTCAGGACTGGGTATTTAGGTTCATAGGTTCATGGTGTGATTCAGGCTGGAAGGGAGCTCAGAGGTCTCTAGTTCAAACCCTGCTCAAACCAGGCTCAGCTGTGAGACCAGACCAAGTTGCTCAGGACTTTGCTCAGCCTGGTCTTGAAACCTCTGAGGCTGAGGACAACACAACCTCCATGGGCAACCTGCTCCACCTCCTGCCTGGGTGAAGAAGATTTTCCTTGTATGCAGTCTGAATCTCTAACTTCATCTTCTGCTTGTTGTCTCTCACCCTCCTGCCATGCACTTCTTTGAAGACCCTGGCTCTGCTCTTTTGACAACTTCCTTGTAGGCTCTTTTGACAAATTCCTTGTAGGCAACTTCCTTGAAGTCTTTTCTGCAGGCTGAACAAGCCCCAATCCCTCAGTATTTTCCCACTTCTCTTAAGACTGGGCATCTTCACACAGATGGGCAGGATCTGCCCCTAGGGACTTCTCCAAAGTAGCCCAAATACCACCAAGACTAACATGCCTTGGGAACTTCTATTTTAGCTCCTGAGCATGCTGATTGCATGTTGAATGTTTTAGTCTTCACGTTTACTCCAAAAGCTATCATTACATTTGGGTGAAAGGGAATCAGTTATGAACTTTCATCCTGCCTTTTTGGAATAAAGAAATACTCAAATCTCCTGTAACAAAAGACACTTCCTTGGATATTCGAACTGACTTTTCTCTTAAACAAAACCGATGTTAGTTTAGTTTTTATAATTTCATCTATCACTCGACAAAATATGTCATGGCCTCATATGAAACCACTCAGCCAGAACAGTATAACAGTTCTCCTTTCAGTCAGGTCATCACCAAGTATTAATACTTAAATCTTCAAGGATTCAAAGACAACTACACTTATTTATACTAAGTGTGAAGATGATGCTGTGTATCAGGGGAATTTCTGAAATTAAAACCAGGAGGACCACAGCCTGTTTTAAACATGCAGACATAACAGACTGGCTTTAGATCTTTATACTCAAAAATCATTTGCATTTTACATCAGTTGAAAGGTGGCTCATCCATTCTTAATAGCACAATTATGGCAGATGGCAACAGGCCACCTTGAGTTATGTATTAGGTTGCCTGCTGTGACTTTATCACTACCATTCAGAAGGCTGATGATTTATCTCTGCTGGACTGCAGGTTTGAGTCTGTCGCAGGGGATAACTATTCAGGACAAGGCTGTGAACACCCTGACACAGATTTGTCAATCACTACTTGACAACCTTGTATCATTGCCAATGAAATGGAAAGCATACGGAGTGAAGTGGAAGCCAGGGAAGAACACGGAACTACACATAATTGTCACCATTTAAACAGCGTTCAACTACACCGCATTTCCAATTACTGCTCTAACAAAACAAGTACATATCTGTGATGCTCTTGCTAAGATGACCTCCTCCTTATGAAGCATAAGGACTTCAGAATTAGTGACTAAATTTTAACGACATTTTAATGACATCATAGACTAAGTAAGACTTTATTTTAATAGCACATTTCATTTCACTGATATTGGGTTACAGCAGATCTCACATGGAAGTATATATGACACCTATATGGATACTGGATTAATTCACTGTGACCATTGCTACTGCCATCGGTACCAGATTAACTACATCCCTGTGCTGCCTATCATGAAGTATAAACAAACACTGATGCAATTATGCTAATTATCTCAGACTAAAGAAGCTCAATACACTTATAGTACACAGTGTAATGTGTTTCTCCATGGACACTTTGAATTGATTTGTCATTTAGTTTTACAGCTCAGCATCAGATTGCCAAGACTTCTAGGTGCAGTGTTTTGTGAAAGATGCACTGTTTTTATTACAGTTTATGATGATGAGAGGAACTTAGTTTAAAGAAAACAACAGTGTATTCCAGAATTTGTATTCCCTGGCCTCAGGGACTCAGTTGCATTTGCGCACTCCTGAGCTGTCATTTTGATGTTCACTCTGAAACAAGGGAACAAGCTATTGTCAATGGATTGCTAAAGCCTGAATTCCTTGCTAAGAATATCAGCTCTATCTTGTGAAGTATATCAGCTCTATCCTACTAGTACTCTTTTATTTCTTCTCTTTTCATAAATAGTAGATGAGTGATTATAGGAACTCTCCCAAATGTTGATTTGCTTTTAAAGCAAATAATTTGTTGGACTAATTAGGAGGCAGTCTTAGACCATAAACTCCACTTCCAAGGTGAAATAGGAAAATGCAATTCACTGTATAGCAGCACACCGTAAGAGCTTCATTGTGCATGATGCTACCTAAACTTGTCTAAAAGAAACATCTGCTATATTCCAGCAAGACTACTTGGAAAGGAATTAACTATTTCAATACAGAAATGTTCTCCTTGGAAATGAGTTTATGAGGCTATAATATACACTGCAAGTAATATTTTTAAGGTTTGTTTTGTTAGGTTTCATTTGCTTTCCTTGCCATTCATTGAAAAGGTTTGGCTCTTAATGACCACCTCATTTATTTGTCCCAGTGTTGCATTGAATCTTAGAACTGGAACCTCATAATTGTTTTAATTCATGGCTGTCTGAATAATTATCTTATGGCATTCATACGCTTAACCTAATGGTGCAAGGAAGGCATAATATAGCAATGGAAGGACAGATCATTTATGAAAGGTTATGAGGCCTGTAGTTTAAACTTTGGCAGTAACTGGCAGAAAAGTCATAAACGTTGGCTCCCGGTAAACTTTGTGCCTGTCTCCCCAACCTCTGGTTGTCTCCACGCCTCCTCCAGCAACAATCTTCAGGGAGGTAAAGTGTTTTCTTACCTATTTGCCAATCCCAGGGAACTTTCAACAGCTCTTTGTGTTCCATGATTGCACTATAAGAGAAGACAAGGCAAAATTTGATGGAAAAAACCCAGAAGTTAAATTATTTTCACTCATTCAATTCAAATGCTGGACAAAACAACACAAATAACCTTATAACAAAAAGTCTCTGTAGAAACCAAATGCAATCACACTTTGCTAATCCACTCTGGCATTATCCCTCTGCCTGTGTATGTGAAAGACCTTCAGAGCAGTAATAAGACGTGATAGCATACAATTTCCACTGGTTTATTTCCAGCTCTCTATATATCTGCTCAAAGTGCCCATCTCCCTATAAATTCTTGTACTCTTCTGACTTAATATTCTGAAAGCTTTTGGACTTTAATGATTAATAATGTACCTATCTAAGTTATTTACCCTTCAGAGTGTCTCTGCACTGTCAAATAAATAGATATCACACATCGGCTTTGGGAAGAAAACTGTTTTGTTACGCACTGAGAGAGATCAAATAGTCATAGCAATGGCTCAGGAAATGAAGCAAAGGATGGGCCAAGCCACAAAAGTCCACTTTCAACATCTTTTAAGTCTTGAATGGTACATTAGCACCAAAATCCGGATCCAGAAAATTCTAAGGTGGCAAACAGGTCAGCTCTTTGCAATCCAGGCAAACAGACCCTTTGAGCTTAGGTATCTCATGAGGTATGTGTTCACTCACCTGACTCCTTCCTCTAGTCTGATGATTAAGGGACTGAAAGCCTGCCTTATGAAGAAAGGGTGAGAGATTTGGGGCTTTTTAGTCTGGAGAGGAGAAGACCGAGAGGAGATCTAATTAATGTGTATAAATATATGAGGGCTGGGCATCAAGAAGGAAGGGACAACCTCTTTTCACTTGTGCCCTGTGATAGGACAAGGGCAATGGATGCAAGCTAGAGCACAAGAAGTTTCAGCTCAGAGGAAGAAGTTTACTGTAAGGGTTACAGAGCACTGGAATAGGCTCCCCAGAGAGGTTGTGGAGTCTCCTCTGGAGACTTTCAAGACCCATTCGGATGTGTTTCTGTGTGACCTGCCCTAGATTCTGTGGTCCTGCTCTGGCAGGCGAATTGGACGCGATGATCTCCAGAGGTCCCTTCCATTCCCTAACATTCTGTGATCCTCTGACTCTGTGATTTCCAGATAACTCCTGTTGTGCAGAATCCTGCATGCTAGTCTGGACACTATTAAACAAGTATAAACCATGGAATTACATAGATTGAAAACCAAAGTACTTAGTACAAAAAGGTGGTATGTGGAAAATCAAGTCTAGCAGTAAAACTGCAGGAGCTCAATGCCTTCCAAATTAATCTGGCCTAGAGAGCTGCATCCTGGAAATTCTATTTTGCTTGCTGCTGATGTGTGGCAAATCTAATACTGTGTACAGAATAATAAGATTATTTTGTCTGCAAAATACCTAAATTATAGGTGTCTTTGCATGCACAAGGCGTATGTCTCTTTTATCAGCAATTCCTGAAGAATATCATGACAAAAAACTGCAATGTCTCTTGCTCTGGCAAGCAAATTTTCTTAAACTTAAATGTAGGAACTGCTTTCATATTATTGCTTATCAGATACAAGAGATGTATAAAACAATATGCTATGGTCTGTGATTCATCACGATCTGTCAAACCAAGAGGAGTGAGAGGAACTTTGTCAGAAGTTGCCGCTTAGTGATGCCAGACACCCTTAATAATTGGAACCACAATGATCTTTGAAAGGTTGTGGTGATTGGAGGAGGTCCCTGATAATGGAAAAGAGACACATGCAACATCTAGGGTCAAAACCAGCAAAAACTACAGCCTGGTCAGCCTTATGCTAACCTTGGGAAAGATTATGAAGCAAATTTTCCAAGAAGTCATTTGCAGGAAATGAAGAAGCCATGACTGGAAATAGCCAGCACAAACTTCTCAGGAGCAAACCATGCTTGACCAAACTGATTGACTCGCTCAGTAAATAATGGAAGGGGAATGGATGAAAGGATGAGGTGTAACCTACCTTGACTTTTGCAAAGCTTCACAAGAAATACCAAACGATTTCAAGAGACTGAAGATGTATATATTGGAGGAGCAGACTACTCACAATGCAGTCTGAAGAAAAGGGCCAAGAAAAATCTTGTCAAGTTCAAGAAAAGCAAATACGAACTCCTGCACCTGGGACAGAATAACCTTATTCAACAGTACAGGCTGGGAGCTGACTGGACAGAAAGCTGTTTTTTAGAAACAAACCTTGGAGTTCTGGTGGACACCAATCTGAATATGAGTGTCCTTGGAGCAGAAAAGGCCAACAGCATCCTGGGCTGTGTTATTTAGAGTCTGGCCAGCAAGCTGAGGGACATGATTTGTGAGACAGTAGCTGAAGTACTGTATCGAGTTTTGGGCTGCCCAGAATAAGACAGACATTGACAAATTGGGAGGGAGTACAGTGGAGCTCCATCACAGTGGGCAGGTGGCTAGAGCCCATCATGTAAGAGGAGACACTGAAACAGCAGGGTTTCTTCACTGTGAAGAAGAAAAGGCTTAGCTGGGGGGAAGGAGGATGGGACAATATATTTGCTATCTTAACTACCTAATGGGTAGTTACAGAAAAGATAGACTTTTCTGGGAGGTGCACAACAAAGGGATGAATGACAACGGACACAAGTTGCAAGGTGGGAAACTCTGATTAGATATAAGGAAAAGAACATATTGGTCAAACCCTGGAACAGGTTGCCCAGTAGGACTGGCATTTCAATTCTTGGAGATACTAAGAAGTCAACTGCACAACTTCCTGAGCAACCTGACGTGACCTTGAAGTTAGTTAGCTTTGAGTGGAAGTTTGAACCAGATAACCTGCAGGGGTAGATTATTCTATGATTATGTGATTCCATCAGAAAACATGATGTCCATTTTCTGGGTAGGTGCTATATCCCTACCTTTTGTCAATTAATTTATTCTTTTGATATAGTTCCTCCTTGTTTTAATCACATTCTACCCACTAAACTTCCCTTCCCACCATGCTCGGGTAGTTAGCCAACTTTCACAGAATCACAGAATCATTATGGTTGGAAAGGACCTCCAGGGTCATCAAGTCCAATGTTTTTTCCAGCTTTACTTCTCTGTTTGTCCTGACACCTTAACCCTTGCCAACAGGCATTATCTGGGTTGACTTTACATTACAGTCTAATATCAAGCACTCTTGCTAAACTGTTCTAGAAAACAACAACCTACTTCTTCAGAGTCCTCTTGGAGGCATAGTTCTGCACTAGAGCTGAAGTATGAGCTAACGCAAGTCCTGTGTGAACACTTAACTATGTGATGTCTGCTCCTCATTATAGGTGAAGGTAAGAAAATGCTAAATTGCCTCATGGAGCCAACCAGGAGGAACATTATTGGCCTCTCCTTATATGCAAGCTTTTGCTATCTTATTAAAAAAAGTACCTATATGAGCTAAGTGTAGTCAAGTCTCCACAAAGAACCACAAAAGCACTAGCAGCAAAAAAAGATGCAGAGTCTGATGGAGAAAAACCTGCCAGCAAGAACTTCTTGGACAAAGGCTGAGTAGCAAAGCCTTAGGGCTTTCGGCAAAGAAATGGTTTCTTACTGTTTCTTTCCAGTCATGCCTTCTGTAAACAAAGATGTCATGTTCCAGCACAAGCTTCTTCTCCACAGTAAATTAACCCTGAACTGTGACTAAATGCTTGGTTCAAGAGGAGATAATCTTATTATAATTAAATTCAGGAATATGAGATATGTACATGACAGTTTACACACAGAGAGCAAGACAAGGACACTGCTTTGATGCCCTCAGAATCAGTTAGTACCAAACCATCATGAATGCTTTAGCCAAAGATACTGGGCACATTTATGTGCTCTTGAATTCTGTATTTTTAAAAAAGGAAACTGTTTGTGTGGCAGCCCATTAATATAAATCATTTTAAGTCATGCATTCAGATCTCACATAAATGCAACCAGCTTTCTGGCTAAAGAAATAGAACTAATTAAATGGGAATTGATGGGTCATTGTTTTGATCAGTCTCTGTTCTTAGAAGCTGAGTGGCTCAGATGTGCAGGGAAGCAACTTGGTTTTGACTAATAATCAAAAGTTATTCTGTGTGACAAGCACCAGTGATGGATCTGCATAAAATGTGGCAATCGTGCACGATGACTTTTACTACACTTCTATCAGTGACAGTATTATAACCCTGGAAGCTACCTTCCAACCCTTAGGCTTGCAGGTGAGATGCTCATTAGGTGCATGGGGATATAGACAGGGTATAGGCAGTAGTTCCTGAAATCCATGCGACAATCAACTGAGTACTAAATAGTCTGAAGTGAAAAGGCCAGTTTCTTAAAGGCTTTTTCATTATTTATGCTGTATCATAATGGAGTTACACAGAATGGGCCAATCAGTAACATACTTCTGACTGGACATGTTTTCTACCTGTTTAGAAATCTAAGTGACTTTTAAAAGAACCAGATTTTGTTATTCACAGAGTCTCTACTTGTCTTCCAGCAAGAAGACGGTGGAATAAGTCTTCTACTCCTCCCTCCCCACATTACTACTCAAGGACCTTGAATTAGAACACTTAGGTACAAATCCATGTTATTATTCAAATCTACCGATCTGAAATATGAAAACCAGTGCAAATTCCAGAATTAGAGGACACCTACTCTCCACAGGAAATGGCTACCTTCAAAGAGAGGGTTTGGGTACCTCAACTGAGGCCACAGCTACACTTATTTGAATGATCTTGAGGCTCAAACCTGCTCACTTACAGCTGAATTCCACTGAAGAAGGAGCCAAAGAGTCCGATCATGCCCAGGAATTCCACTCGACTCAGATTTCGGACGATATATTCCTCACAAACGTTGGAGATGCCATATAGCGTTGCTCCACCAAGTACTAAGAGATCCCCTATCAGTTTATTTTCACCTAGGAATAAACAGGGGAAAAATCAGAATGTCTCAAAACAACAATCTTTTGTCTACAACCATTGCATGTTCTTCCCTACAGATTTTGATCCTCAGTCATTAAGTAGCCCTTATTTGTGTTAATAAGTTGAACACAATTGTTCTGTCATTTTAAAAGGTTTCATTCAACATCCCAGCAAAACTTAGCAGAAGTGGAGGGAAAGCATTATCCTTGCTATAGAGAAACTAAAAGAATCTGAAAAAATTGTAAAAAAATATAGGAACCAAGTGGCACTCTTCAGTGACTAATCATTTTTATTTTGTTACTATTACTCTTTTTGCAGATTGAATGTGACTCAGCTATGTAGAGCAGCTTGCATCCCATCTTGAAATCTAACCAGTCCAAGATATGTCCAGTATTTAGATGTGAAACCAACTGAAAAATTCTGTGTACCTGTGAAATGAGTGAAGAAATCATTGAAACCCCAATACTGACCTCATTCTCACATGAAGCTGGTAAGAAAGAGAGGAGGGAGGATGGGGTGTAGACAGGGTGATGATAAGGACAGATTTTTAAAAGAGGTTCAATTAACATAGCAGTACCTAATGCATGCAATGAACAAGAAGATGTATTTTCATACCTCCAGGTATATATAATTAATTGCATTATCAAAGACTGTCTGAAATCTTTTTAAGTCCTGGAGGCTTTTATTACTGGGGAGTGGGGAGGGCTGCAGGGAGATTTGATCAAGATCAAGTTCCAGCTTGAAAACTGAGGCTCTGGTTTTGTGAAGTAATGCATGCAATTCCCTTTGCACATATGGCTTGTTAAATGATTTCTACAGGAGCTACAGCTTCACAAAGCTGTCAGACATTGCTGCAGAACTGTATTCCAAAAACCTGGACATAATGGAATTTAATTTGAAAAGGAAAGTACTGAAGTACTAGCCTGTTTGTTTTGTGGTTTTTCTTTAAAGAAACATTGTTTTCTTTTAAAATACCTCTTGATTTATTTTTGAATTCCTGATGTTTTAAGATTTATTATTATTGATTTGTAAAATACACATTGCAGTAAATAAAAGTAGAAGACAAACATTCTGATTGGTTCAAAATGAAATTTTCAACGTTTTTCTTTATGCAGTTCTTCTAAGCTTTCAGTTTTCATTCCAAACTACAGTGCTGTAATTTCCAGTGAGAAGAAATTTATGAAAACAAGTATGCGCTTAAGATGACAGATCAAGGGTTTGTTTATCCAGTATCCTGTCTCCAAGACTGGCTATAAACACCAGAAATGTATACCTTTAAGGACAAATAGGAATGGGGTGAAATTTAAAATACTCCCAATAATACTCTCCTAGTCTGCAACATTTTTCAGCTCAGAGATGTGGCTTCTGTGTATTTAGCAAACATTACTAGATTTCTCCTTCACATATTCATGCAGTCTCTCATCGAATCTCTTTCTTGCATGTACCTCGACTGACAGCATGTTTGTATTCGACCATTTACCTTTTAAAGATTTGGTACTTATTTTCTTTTTAGCCTTCTTTTGCAACCAGCCACGGAAGATGTCCCTAATTTCAAAAAAGCATCATCACTTTACAAAACCTCTTCATATCCCTGATGCGTTTGACGTTCCACAGTGGCTCCAATCATCCCTCACTGAGCTCACTCATTTGGTATTTATTACAGCTACTCACTGACACTGGGGAAGTACTGCTGAAAAAGGCTTTTGACCTTAGAGCTTGCCTGTGCCGAACTGCTGTGACAAAAATACCATCTCTTTGCATCTGTGAAACAAAGAGAGCTCAGTGTTTTCACAGAGATGGGATGGCCCCAAGCACCACACCATGATGGCTCTCCCCAAAACACATTCACACTCAGAGAGTGTGAGTCTCAACCTTCAGGGTCCTCCCAGAAGAGGAAGGCAAGATCTGGTCAGACCACGGTTCTGCCCAGCCTGGGATTGTCCTCTGGCCCTGGGCAGCACTGGGTGGCTGAGGAAAGCATCAAGAAATAGGGAAGCACAGAGGGATTTTTTATCAGGCAGTTCTCTGAAGATTAGGGATTTTCAGAGATGCAAGTTGCATTAGATCATCAAACTTAATAGATCTTGAGGGATTCTTTATGCATTTGTGTAAAGTCCATGTATTTTTGGGCAAATATTAAGAAGCACTTAAGTGTTTTTAGCTTTTAAGCCTGATACCTCAAAATTATATTAGGTACCCCATAATTTCCTGATTGTGAGAAATATTTAAGAACCACACTGTATTGACCCTTTCCATCCCACTGAAAACTTCATGTACCTTTATCATATTCTGCCTCTTTCTTGCCTTTTCTGAGAAATGAAAAGTCCCATTCTGCCTTCATCCTGAAGTCATTTTGTGCCCTTGAACTGCTTATTCACCTTTCTCCATTGCTTTTACAGGCTTATTTTCTGGTCATTTCTTTCTGAGTGACTAGAATAATACATGGTACACAAGAGGCTAGTGCATCAAAAACTCCATATACTGATGTAAATATGTTTTATACCATATTTTTTGTTTCCTTTTGAATAATTCCCATCATCCTGGTTGTCAAATGCCTTTTCTTTGCTTTGTGAAGAGGCTAACTTTGGAACTTTACTCCAAGACCGGCATATCCCAATGGACGTATTTTCATGGATGTAAAATCCACGTGCATCTACTGGTTTCATTGCTAAGGAAATATGTATCAGCTGAGTAGGGCATTTTAAAGACTTTTAGGTTAATACAGTTGTACTTGCCTAGATTAATGGTATAGGTCATTCTTCTGGAGAAACACAAGGCATAGCTTAGCAAAATACATTTTGCATTAATCATTGTTTTAATGTCCTCTGGAAGCAGAAGCCATACAGTTCAGAGAGGAGTTAATGTTTTGAGGACTAGTTATAGCACTACAGTGTAAAATAAATCACTTAAATATGAACTATATTCTGACATGACTGCTTTTCACGCTCTCACTAGGTTGCTTTGCAACATTTTTACCTTAATGCTCAGTGTTAAGGGCTGTTTCTCTTTGCTTTTGGTTGTAATTACTGATTATTATAATATCTAAAAATCAGTCTCAATATGTCCCATCTTAGACTAAACATACTCTTATATACTTATTAACAGAACTGAAGTGACTGGTTTTCAGAGACTGTGGTAAGATAAAGCTGTGAAGTACTCAGACAAATCTGGATGAAACACTTAGAGCTCTCTGTCTTAGACCCCTGTGTATTACAGGAGCACAAGTACAAAGGTACCTCCGGGATATTAGTTCAGTAAAGTGTTATTTTAAGGTATACTTAGCATGCAAGGTGATAAAGCACAAAGTACTCAATAGCAACTACTTTCCCCATTGAGTAATGTGCAAAACATCAGTCAGGATACAATAAAAATAGGTATATTTATTGGAAGCTGAGAGCATGCCTGCATATTATACCTAATTTCTGCAGATAGTTTGGAAAATACCTGTTAATCTCTCAGTGATGCATTTTAAATTCATGTGCCCATAATGTAAGAGTTGGCAGGCTAGATTGCTGTATGCAGTAGGTGCCCTGCACCTACTTCAAATACAGTAAATAGTACAATAAACAGAGGCACACAGGTATCAGTGGATATTGTCCTCTAAAACATAGGATTAACAGAGGAGTTTATTGAGGACAAATATAGCATTATCGCTTTTGGAGTATTCCTTTCTTTTGTTTGCCCAGTCCAAGGAAATATCTAATAAAAGCTGTGGAACCACTTAATGAAGAGTTTCAATAATTTCTTTTTTTTCTTTTGCTGCCAATATTTCTTTTGATTTGTGGATTTTTAACGTATACTTTTACCCAGATAAATTAAACCACCTGATCTATTTTACTTTGTTAAAAGCAATATCATTAATAACATCATTTTGCCACTTAAAAAAAAAAAAAGCGGAAGTCTCTCTGCATAGAAATAAGTATGCACACAGTTTTTCATGTGTTGGTCCAAACTAAAAGGCAATAATGCATGGCAACAGATTTTTCTGGGCAGATATACCTGTGCTTTAGTAACAAGTACAGCAAATAATATCCGGTTATTGCAGCTGGATGACAAAGGGTCAGTGCTCTTCGACCTGTTCCCTGTCCTCCTGCTGATCCACAGCTCAGCCACTCCAGCATGTTACTCTCTAGAGTACCAGGACACAGGATGTTTCCTCTGGAACCCAGGAATGAAATCCCAATCCATCTGAAATCAGCGATTTCCAATGCAGTTTTGACTGGCTGATTTTGTAGTAGAGAGTGTATTCTTTCCTTTTGAGCTGGGAAGGGTTACTTCTGGAGGAGACTAATGAACTAAAAGTCTCCTTTTAGGATAAAGGACAGGGATAAAAGGGGGCAGAGAGATACGGTGAGTACCGAAACAAACTCTCTTACTTAGCAGCATCCTGGCAAATGCAGTTCTTACAGCACTTACATTTGTATTCAGAAAGCTGAGTCAAGAATTTTAAATCCCAGTGTATTATGCTCAGCTCACAATTCAGTGCTTTTAATTAAGAATGAAAACTGTGCCTAATTGACAATCTTTGAAAAGAATTTCCAGCCTTCCCACATCATTTGGGTTGGCAGTAGAGAAACCAATGTGACAGAGGATGTTGACAGATGAAATCTAACTCTGTCTAGTCTGCATTAATAGCTACACGCACATTATTCATATGATGCTGCACACAAAAAAGAACGTTTTACACACAGGAAGGTTCTTTCCAGCAATGACACATGCAAATCCCGAACTTTTAGTGAGTCTGTGTACAAACCCAACTGGTACAGTTAATACATAGGTTCAGTGTTTTTTACCATCTACCCAGTGACCCTGCCTCCATACAAAAAAGGAACAAAGTTGAGAAGAAAGAGCACACAGTGGAAGTGAGAGGTGCTTAGGACTGAAAGATGTAGCCAATCTGGAAATGAAGCAACTGAGGTTTCCAGTCAAACAGCTAAGGCAAACCAGAATGAAACAACAAATATGTAGTTTGTTCGCCACCTCAGCCTGCACAGAGGGTGGTGACCCAAGTTCCAGAAACAGGGCCCAGGAAGTCTATTTGCAGCAGTGCTGACTTCTGAGTGTTGACCTATTTTTGTTCTCTGCGTCTTCTGACAAAGAAGCAACTTTGAATGCTGCACTGCCTTGGATCCATGAAGGCACAGGGTTTCTTGCCATTTTTCCCATTTTGTTTTTGGTCCCAATCACACATGGTCTGGTCAATGGTTTCTCTGAGCAGACTTTGGTCACACAACCCATCCATTCTTACTCACCTGCTCCTTGCTGTCTCCCAACGAGGACATCTGCTCCTGCCATGCAGCCCATGCCCAAAATGCAGACCACGATCCCTATAAAATGTACTGCCTTGTATCGTACCAGTAAGAAGAACCAGGAGAGCAGTATCACCACTGGGATGACAAAACAGTCTAGAAGCTGTCAAGAAAGAGAGGAAAGATCAAGAAATCAACCTGCTAACACTTTGCCCTAAAATACTAGGATATATTCCAGCAGAGGGGAGCAGGGTTATTTAGTTAGTTACAGCAGTTTCTACCAGATAGAAAGTGTATTCAAGTGGTTATGTCATCCATGAATCAGAGGTTAAGACCATTCTGTTCATGATTATTCCACGAATTCACATTGCTCTACAGTAACACCCAAAAGTACCACCTTGTTCTTGGATTCAGATGCATACTTCAAATCCATGGGAATAAAACCTGGGCCAAAAGAGAGCCACGCCACTCCATCTGGTCCTCGCCTCTGGTGATTAATGGACAGAGACTGAGGGCAGGTTTCCTGCTTTAATTGAGTCATTTCAGGTCCAGTTAAAGAATGTTCATAACGCACAAGTTGACCAGATTTATTAAATCTGATCATACAAATCAAGGTATTTCTACCTGCATAATACTTATGAAAAATCTGCCCCCTGTGGGGCAGTTCCAAATGCCTCTGAAAGAAAAAAAATACCCAAACCCCACCTTGTCTGCAGTGCAAGAAACTCAATCTTCTTGCCAATATCCCCTAGGTCAGAGCTTTCTCAAAGAAGTCTTATGAAATACAATCCTTAGTTGTTTTTCCAGAGACACAGAGCAATAAACCCAGACAACCCATGATAAAAAAAAAAGAAGTGCACTAAATGTTTGTGAGAGGACCTTGAGATTTTCAAATTAAAATATATTTTAGAAACTACTATTATGTCACCAGGAGTCAAAAATCATGGGTAAGGAACACTCAAATAAACTTGACTTTAATTCCACTTCCTAAAAGGATACAGATAATACAGAGTTGTGATTCTGTGGACTAACAACAGGATTTAACAAATAGTGCAGAGTACACTACTGTTCAATGCCAACTGATGTAGCAGGAACCAGACCTATATGACTGCATTTTGTTCCTAATGAAAATGTCTGGAGCAACCAAAGGAGGAGCCTGTGTCCATAGTTCTGGAAAACTACTCCAGACGTTGTTACCTTGATTTTAGATGATTCAGTTGATTTTTTCTTCCCTTTAGGTCTATTACCTCCTACTTGCTCTCTTTACGATTTACCACTAAGCACACTACGTATTACAATCACAGCTCTCTTAATTGTCCATGCATTATCTGAAGAGCTAAAGATTTTTGGATGATTTCAAGAATTTCAGTGCTTAGAAAATTATTTGCTACATGTGAAAATGCCTATGTAATGAATAGTAAATTTGGGGGATCAACAAGAATATAAAAGATGATTTTTGGAATAAGGATTATTTCCCTGAAATTGTGTTTGCAAAACAAGAGTGTGCAGTAGAAACCCATCCATTTCAAAGATTATCCAGTCAGTGAGTGGAAAAATCCTTCAGAAGAGAACTGGTACAGCAGCAAGACTATGCTGCTCTTGGGAGGCTAAAGCAGTCCCAAAGAATTGCAGAACAGATGAGGGAAAGGCCTGAGCTAAAAGTAGGTTCTGTATTTAAAATAAGAGCTTATAATACAAAAGGCGTAGTCAGGTCTCTTTACAGTGTAAACTTCCTCCCGCAGTCCTCAAGAGGACATCCTTCACAGACTGAACATGAAAAGGAGCAAGGTGTGAAAGAACTGCAACCAGCTCCTTTGTCTGCAACAGGGGCATCCGCTCCACGTCTGAAGAGCCTGTAACCTGCACAGTGTATAACACAGCTAACACTCACTAACTAGTCTTTGCACAAATGGATACACAAGACACGCATACACAAGAGCGACGAGAGAAGTCACGCTGCTGGGTGCAGCTGGCTCCTGAGGGAGGGTTGCGTGATGGCAGGACTACCGCGTGTATGCATTAAATCCCAACACGTGGTGCGGGTAAGGTGGCACTTGGCCTTCTCCTGTCACTGGAAGGAAGGACGGGGCCCACCTAGCCAGCACAGATGGTCGCTGCTGCATGGATAACATCCATTGCACATTTTTCACATGCCATGGATTTCTGCACTTTGCTAGCGTAGCCCTATAACGTACCAGCAATAGGTGGCACATCTGAGGGAAGCTCATTCTTCAGTGTAACCCAGGCGATGTGGACACAGCTCAACACCTGCCCTCTCAATCCACAACGCATGTCATCATGCCTGCACCTGTGCACCCTTAGTAAGTTTGCAGATGACACCAAGCTAGGTGGAAGCATGGATCTGCTTGAGGTAGATCTGAGTAAGGTTCTACAGGGGGATCTAGACAGGTTGGATTGCTGGGCCAAGGCCAATTCCATGAGTTTCAATCAGGCCAAATTCCACATCCTGCTCTTCAGCCACAACAACTCCCAGCAGTGCTACAGCCTTGGGGAGGAGTGGCTGGAGAGCTGCCAGGAAGAGAGGGATTTGGGAGTGTTAATAGATGGCCGGCTGAACATGAGCCAACAGTGTGCCCAGGTGGCCAAGAAGGCCAATGGCATCCCAGCCTGGATCAGGAATGGTGTCAGCAGAAGCAGGGAGGTGATCGTGCCCCTGTACTTGGCTTTGGTGAGGCCCCACCTTGAATACTGTGTCCAGTTTTGGGCCCCTCACTACAAGAGGGACACTGAGGTGCTGGAGAGGGTACAGAGGTGGGCTGCCAAGCTGGTAAAGGATTTGGAGCATGTGTCGTATGAGGAATGGCTGAGGGATCTGGGGCTGTTTAGCCTGGAGAAGAGGAGATTGAGGGGAGACCTTATCACTCTCTGCAACTACTTGAAAGGAGGTTGTATCGAGGTGGGGGTTGGTCTGTTATCCCTAGTGGCAAATGATAGGACAAGGGGAAAAGGCCTTAAGTTGCACCAGGGGAGGTTCAGGTTGGATATTAGGAAGAATTTCTTTACTGAGAGAGTTGTCAGCCATTGGAACAGGCTGGCCTGGGGGGGGGGCGGGGACCCAGTCC